TAGGCCAGTCAGGATGGAAAGGGACAGGTATGTCGCCCCGAATAATGGGGAGGGTTCCACACAGGCCAAGGAACTTCCACAGGGCCCTGCCATGCTCACCTGCTTCAGAGACAGCCTGCGCAGGACGGCATGCCCCTCTTCTGCACTCTGGTGACGGGGCAGCTCTGCTTTGGGAGCAAGAACACAGCGCCCCAAGTGTGGGAGCCAAGAGGCCTGGACTCAAGTTCCCTCTCAGTCGCTCACTGGGTGGGGCCACCGTGCAAGCCAAAATGACAGCAGCAAAGTGCCACCCCACTCCAAGGCCATGTGGCTGTTTAAATCTAAATTAATTAAAATTAAGTGAAATAACAAATTCAGCTCCTCAGACACACAAGCTGCATTCCTCATGCACGACAACCACATGTGGCTAATGGCTACCCTAACGGGCAGTGCAGATACGGAACATTTGTGTCACGGCAGAAAGTCCTACTGGACAGCCTTGAGCTGAAGAACTGTTATGACTACTACGGGATTATTGGCTTTCCTAAGAATTCGGTGGCCCATGCAGTTGCTGCTGGCACCAGGGACAGAACAAAGTGGCAGCTGGGAGGTCCCTGTGTGTGCTCGCTCTGTGGAGTACTTCCCACCTCCTCCCACTGCCCTCACTCAGAAGAGCATGCGTGTGCACATACACACACTCACACACACATACACCCAGACCTGGTGTCCACCAGGCCTGAGAAGTCCAACTCAGGCTTGGCCTCAGCCTCCTCCTCACCTCCCTGGACACAATATCATCCCCTCCTTCTTCAAAAAGTTAGGCCTGAAATGGAATGTGGCCTAAAGGACTGAAGCGCTGAGGCCCAAGTCACTGCAGCTGGAATCCAGACTGCTCAGTGAGGCCAGGAAAACAGAAACTCACACCCAAAAGGATGAAGCCCAGCAGATCTAACCCACAGTACCCAACTTCCAGGACTGGAGTGTGTGGCCCAGCCAAGTGCGACTCGACCTTCTGGCAGCCAGCTGAGCGGGACCCACAATCCTGAGGGCTGCACACCTAGAGACGGGTGAAGATGCTGTCCCTGCGTGGCTCATCCCGACCCGGAGAAAAGAAGGATTTCCAATACCCACAAGAGCCAGAATGGGAATCTTTCGAGAGAAATAAAATACCCAGCCCCTAAGGGTCCCCAGCTCTAAATGGAAAGGATCAGATCAGAACAAGGGGAATGTCACCCCAGAAATGTGAGCCACCTGCCCAGATGGCTTGCGGTCCATCTGTTCAGCTGGACTGCAAACTAAACCCTCCACGGGCCATCCAAGACCCTGCTAGTCCAATCCACAGATTAAAGCAAAGCTGTCAAAGAGGAGGACCAAGGTCTGGGGAATAAAGCATGGCACAGAAAGATGTGGAAGCATCTCACAGAACTGGCTGCCTGAAAACTGGCTGCACAAGTCAGAGGAGGGGCAAGCCACAAAAACTGACTTCACCCTAAACCCTGAGTATTCGGTCCAGTGTACCCAGCCCTCAAAACGCTCCAGGCCTTCAACAGTGCTGCTGTCCCACAGCACGGTCAGCATCAGATCAAGTAATCTTCACATGGTGACACAGGCAGGAGCTCAGAGCACGTGGCTATACTCACAGTGCACCAATCAAGGAGAACTCAGGGATGCTCAGGGGTCCTGAGGGAGTGAAGACAAGCGGCCCAATGGGACAGGCAGGACCGTCTGTGAGCTGGTCCATGCTGGCACCCAAGTGGCAAAACACACAGGTACCTGCACTGCGCCTTCTTAGGTGGGCAAGTGTGTCTCAAAGATGCCAGTGGGACAAGGGGCAATCTGTTTTGTGTGCTCACTGCCCGTGTGCTGAATTTTGGACAAGAATTCAGGTTACAGCTCAGAGTCTGATGTTCTCCGTTACACACACCGTTGATTCTCTAGATTTAATGCAGTAGCGAAAAATCAACACTCAAGCAGCCACCACTGTACTTTCCCACCCCTCTCCTATTCTGGCCTAGACCGGCGCTGCCCTATCAACAGAACTTTCCGCACTGGTGGATATGCTCTACATCAGGGCTATCCACTATGGTAGCCACAAGCCACAAGCCACGTGTGGCTGCTGAGCACTTCAAATGTGGCTAATGTGACTGAGGAGCTGAATTTTTCATTTTACTTAGTTTTAATTAATTTACATTTAATTGTTACATGTCACTAGTGGCTACTGAATTAACACAGCTCTAGACTCGAGAACCGGGTAAAGCAAGAATCCACACACTGTGTATTCTAAACTAGACCATCATTAACACACAGCTGATGACACTAATTCTTGTGGACAACTGGCACCAGGCAGGGCCTTTAAATACAAGGCACGGTTCGCAGTTTGCAGCCGCTGGCAAATCTGGAAAGTCTGCCCAAAGCATCGCTCTGCTCAGGCCCACCCCGAACCAGACAATGTTTCCTTCAGCTTCAGCATAAAGCACCTCAGGAAAGTGGTGTCACAACGTGGAGCTGAGACTGGAGTCAGCACAAATGTGACAGGGAACAAAGTCATTTAAGAGACACACAAACAGCCTACTTCAGTCATAAGAGCCAATAATATACTCAGGCCTCAGGGTCTACAGTGCTGAGCAATCAATTAATCCGGCCTGCCCCAGTCGAACAGTCCCCACCCGCTGAGCAGGAGTGGAGGTGTGCCCAGAAGTTAGCTAGCTGGCCAGCAGTGGGTTATGTTCTGATCCTCTGCTCAGTGTGGGAGAACCTTAGGGAAATTGGGCTCAGACACGCGACTCCTCCAGCAGAGCCCAGCCAGGGCCCCACGGCAAAGGCAAAAACAGGGGTACCCCTGGCCACCCCACATTATCTGGAAGGAGAAGAGACGGCGCCACCCAAACCACAAAACCAGATGCCCCATTCCTGGCTGACACACAACATCTGCATGTGTGAGCAGCACCTTCAGTTCCAGGCCAAAGGCTGCCACCTGCGCCCCAAAGGAGACTGGGTGGCAGCAAGTCAAGCTGCCCGGTGAGGAACGATGAAGAGCACATGTCCTGACCAAAAAGGCAGCCCTGCTCAGCTTTCGGAGGAGAGTTTTATGTGAAATCTTTCCATTTATAAGCATCGGCAACTAATTTAAATTTTCTTAAAAAGCGAGGGTCAACGGTCAAGGACTGCATTCTGCCTATGAGCTGACTGGCAAACTCTGTTTTGAATTAACGCTCATCTTGAACCAAGGAGAGAAAAAATCCCCAATATCTAATTTCTTAGATCAGTAACAGCTTCACTTTTGCTGGCATCGCCCTGTATGATGCCTGGACCTCTCCACGGGGCCTTTCCGTTGCTTCTATCCAGTAAGGAAGAATGCCTTTCTCTCTCATACTCAGTTTTCCAAACAGGTCATTTCCTATTACTAAAGGATTGTTTGCATTAAAGATCTTGAAAATGTTTGCTAGTTTTTAAGGCCGTCTGGAAATCATCGAGGTCACTTCTTTAACTTCCTTCTATTGCCCAATCTAAGAAATATCAGGTGGGAGATGGAAAAACAAAAATATCTGCTTGCCATTCACTGCTTTTCCAAGGAAGAGGAAATGCAGAACAGACGATGTTGGATGACTCGGGGCTCAAGAATAAAATGCAAGCTAACGGGGTCTATCGCAGCCACCAAACAGGAATCTTCTGGGCTGCGAAAACCAGCGGCCGGCAACAGCAATGAAGATGTGATGGAATCAGTCAAGGAAAAGGAACAATGCAGAATAGTTGAGAAAGACAGAGAGGACGGGACAAAGGGAGAGAAAGAGAACTGTTCTGTTTAGCAATCCTCACCACAAAGACAAAAAAAGCCAACACAAACCTTGCCTGCCCTCTGCTATACCATGATAGAATAGGACAGTTTAATCCGGGTGATTCCACCAACACACATCCTTTCCCAAACTTCTGGTGGCTGAACAGCTTCTAGTCGCTTCTAGTAGCTGAAATCGCTTTCCAGAAGCAAAAACTGTAAATTCAATACGAAACACGAAATCTCATCTTCTAGAAATCACTTCTCCAAATCGACACCCACCTTGGAAGAAACCAGCTCCTCGCTCCCTTCCCACACATCATTCATTAGGGAAGGTCACTCCAAAGGACTTCCAAGGCAGGGGCGCAAGAATCGCCCCTCGAGGAAGCGGCCGGCTCCCGGCCCGGGAGACCCAAGTGGCGAAGGTTGAGGCTCCCCCCCGGTAAACGTGCAGCCTGCACTGCCCTCCCCGCGGCCAGCCCGCTCCAGGAAGGCTTCCCCTTCCTTCTCCTTCCCGGGAGCCATTCCTCGCCGCGTCAGGGGCCGCGGCCGAGACGGCCACGCGCGGGGCCAGGCGGGCAGAAAGCTTCGCACGCCGCTCGGCCCGCGGGCAGCCAGGCGGGTCCCTGGGGCCTGCGCGGGGCGCCAGGTCCTCTACGCGCGGCCCGGCCTCGGCCCCCACCCTGCACGGCGGCGGCCCGCCTCGCCCGGCCCGCCGTCGCCCCCTCTCCTGAGCACTCTGGGAGGCCGCTCTGGCCAGGCCGAGCGGCGCCAGCTCCCAATCAATCCCGGATCGGCCGGGCTGGAACCCCGCGTGCCCGGCGGGCGGACGGAGGGGGCGGGCGAGAAGGGGGAGCCGGGGGCTACGGCAGGGAGGGCGCTGCAGCCTCCGGAGGCCCCACCGGCTCCCGGCTCCTGAGCCGCCCGCCCTCAGAGGAGCAACACGGCCCTGGATCTTACCTCTCTCGGGCGCTGCCGCCGCTGCTGCCCGGGCCAAGACGCCTCCTTCCCCAAGCGGCCATCTTGGAGACACTCTGCTCGCCAATGTCTCGCGCCAAGGCGGCCTCGGGAGAGAGGGCGGGCGGAAGGGAAATGTAGTTCGGACCACGGCCCCGGACAGCCCGGGAGGCCGAGACCGAGCCCCGCGGGACTACGATATCCACAATGCACCGCGCGCCGGAAGCCCCTCCTCCTTAGGTCGCCTGGGAAATGCAGTCCTCAAACCAGGCAGAGTGGAGGATGCCACGGCAACAGTCTTGTTCACTGCACGTTTCTAGAAATTACGATCCCCAAAGCTCACAGCCTGGGATCACAGGCGCCCACCCGCTTGTACGTCCTCGGAATTCGAGAGCACGGAGCCGAAGCAGTGTGGAAAGGAAAGCGCCTACAACTCCCAGAGTGCCGCGCGGGAGCGTCCCGCCGTCCGCCCCGCCGCCGAGGGCGCCGCGCTCAGCGCGTTCCGGCCCCGCCCGCCCGGCTGCCCCTCGGCCTCGCCCTCTGCGGGGCGGCCCGACCTGCCCTTCACGGCCGCTGTGCTCGCTGAGGTCGCCGGGGGCTGGAGGCGCCGCCCGGCCCCGCTCGGAGGGGGTCGCTACTCGCCTCCACTCCCCCAGCTCCCCAGGGACTCAGCCGCGGTGCCGCTGCCGCGGGGGCCCCGGCGGGCGAGCTGTTGGAGGGAGGAGGCGGACAGCAAGGAAGAGGAGGAACAACATGCGACTCTTCCTCCGAGAGAAATAGGCTCTGCCCTAGAGAAAAGACCGTTTTAGGTGGGGCCACTAGGCCCCTCCAGTCCCCGCACTCGTCCCGCCTCTGTCCTGGCCGCGGTGAAGGGAACACTCTCATCCTTCGATGTCTCTGGAGGCGTGTGCGGGGCAAAGCCCTGCCCGGACGCTGCTGCCGAGTCAGGGAGGGTGGACCACACGGGGCCCAGTGGTCCCAGATGCTGCTCCCTCAGACCTGGGGCCTATTCGGGGGCGATCCTTTGCAGTTTTGAAACTTCTGGTCCCTCTCCTGCTTTCCGCAGACATTGTTACTAGACGTCATAGTTGACGTTGAGTGCTGGAGCAGCTCTCATATGCCGAAACCTCCAGATTCAGAGACGGGAAGAAGCTGGGCGCCCGCTGTCAGCACCCAAGTCTAGTGGAACTGGGCAAGCCAGGGCAGGAGGGGCTCTCATCGCTGAGGAGTCCTTAGGATTTCCCTCCAGCTCACATCCTACTAGAGCTGTAAGTGTCCCTCATTACCTACAAGATGCAATTCACGCTCCTTAGCACAATCTAGAAGGCCCTCCGTGGTTCGGAGGTTGTCTACCTCTCCAGCTTCAACAGCCCCTTTCCTGCCTGGAACTTGCCAGGCTAGCAGAGTCAGAGGGTTTGTAGGTCCTCGGATGTTCCATGCTTTGCCTAGAGTGCCCTTCTGAGCAGCTATGCTCCTGGACCTTGGGCCTGTCTGATCCCCTGGCAGGGCCTCCTCTTTCTGTGGGGTCGCACAGCCCCACCTCCAAGCGCCAGTGTGTAGGCATGCTAGAGTTACAATGTTACCATGTTGCCCTGGCACTGCCTATGGATAGGTCTGTTTTCTCTGGACTGGTGTGATTAAGAGGGTTCCTAGGGATTCTGGCACAGCTGGGTTTGAAGCATGGCTCCAGGCTCTGGATCCAAGACTGCTTTTCTAACCTCGGTGTCACAGCGTCCTTGTTTGTAATGTGGGGGTAATGTTACTGCCTCCCTTCCCAGGACTGCTAGGAGGGTTACATAAGATGATACAGGTATGGAACTTAGCATACAAGGTACCAATGGCCACTGACAGGTATGTCATGCCAAGCTCTGTTCTAAATATTTTAAGTGATTTAACTTTTTTTTTTTAAAGATTGGCCCTGAGCTAACATCTGTTGCCAGTCTTCTTTTTTTCTTCTTCTTTTCTTCTTCTTCTCCCAAAAGCCTCCCAGTAGATAGTTGTATATTCCAGTTGCAGATCCTTCTGGTTGTGGCATGTGGGATGCCACCTCAGCATGGCCTGACGAGGGGTGCCATGTCTGCGCCCAGGATCAGAACCGGCGAAACCCTGGGCCACTGAAGTGGAGCGTGCAAACTTGACTACTGGGCCACGGGGCCGGCCCCTGATTTAACTCTTTTGATTTTCACAACAACCCTATGAAGGTGATACTGTTATCATCAACATTCTCATTTTGAGAGGAAACCATGCTTTGGTTCCTCATTTCCAATGAGGAAACCAAGTTACAGAGGAGCTGAGTGACTTGCCAAGGTCACGATGCCAGTCAGGAATAGCGGCAGGATTTGAACCTGAGCTGTCTGGTTACAGGGTTACACTGTGCTGTGGTGCATCTAAGGAAGAGCCCCGGAACTGTTGTCGTTGTTTAGGAGGACAGGTCCCAGGCCCGTGTCTGGTGCACACACAGCGTAAGTGCTCAAATGCTGTGGACCTGGGATGCTCTTCCCATCCCCCCCAGCTCTTGCACTTGACTTCTAACAGGCCATCTGCTTCCAGTCTGCTCACTGGAGCTGAGATCCCCAGAAGTTGCCTCTTGATCACTATTCGTGCACAGACACCTTCTGGAAGGTTCATAGGCAGGGTGATTTACTCAGCATGTAGCAACTGAGCAGCCACCGAGGGCACAACCTGCATGGTAGAAATTGGGCTTCCTGTGGGCTCCCACGCAGTGGAGGCTCCCGGTGGCCTGGAGGCAGCCAGCAGGCGAGGCAGGTCCTGAATGGCGCTCAGAATAATCTGCCACTTTCCCGACTACCCTTCTCGTTCATTCCTTCTTACAGCAAACGATCACTGAGCGCAAACAATCACTGAGCGCACACTCAGTGCCAGGCGCTGAGGGGACACATGCTGCCCTGGTCTCATGAGCTCTCCAGTCCAGCAAGAAGACAACTGAGTGAGTAAATATCTTCAGAGAATGCTAAGTACGAAGAAGAACGTAAGCAGGGTGATGCAGCAGAGCGCGTGGAGATTACGGGTCGCCAGAGAAGGGCTCTTTCAAGAGGCGACGTGGCGTAGGACCTGAGTGAAGAGAAAGAGCGTGCGTGTGGAGAGCAGGGGACAGAATGTTCCGCACAGAAGGAGTAGGTGTGAACACTCTGGAGTACAGTGAGCTTGATGTGTGTTCCAGCGACGGGACCAGGGTGGCTGGAGCACAGTGAGGAAGACAGGGACGGAGTTCCCTTTGGTTAAGTCACTTCTCTCTGAATTCCAATTTTCTTAATTGTAAAATGGGGATAATTTTACCTATATTAATCAGTGTCTAATTAGGAAAGAAAAAGCCACCCTAGTTATTTCAAACAGAGGGAATCTAATACAAGGCGTTGTTTGCAGAGGTGTTGGGAGGGCAGGAGAAGCCAGGGGGCAATAAGGACACCCACAGACCAGTCCCTGGTGGGGACTGGCCCCTCAGGCCGGAGGAGCAAAAGGAGAAGTAGTGCTTCCCAGAAACCGTGCTTCCTGCTGCCTGAGCAGGAGCCAGAGCTGCACTTGCTGGGGGCGCTGCTGACATGCAGCTGCTGCCACTACTGTGGCCTGAGGTGCCCACAGAAGCCCAGCCTGGGCTGGCTTTCCCGCCCTCCCATCTTCCGAACCACTGCCAGTGCCTCCCACCGTAGTCAGCCCTGGAGGTCTGGGAACCGTAGTTCACGAGCTGCCAGCCCTGGCTGCAGAGAAGAGTCTAGAAAGATAAGTGGGATGAAGGCAGCAGACACCATTCCCACACCAGCCACCCTGCAGGACCGTTCTGAGGAGCAGAAATGCATGTGTACTCGACAAGTCATGCCTGTTCTTCTGCTTCATAGCAACAGTAGGCGTTTGGGAAAGGCACATCCTCCGAAAACATCTTTGGTATAATATTTCTATAGAAAGGTTTGAACTTATGATTAAAAGCATCAAAAATGAGCATTTTAAAAATGGAATTTTAATTCTGAATGGGTAATATATTCACATGGTATAAAACTCAAATTACAAAACAATATGCAGTGAAGATAAGGTTCCCTTGTCCTGTCTTCGTGTTCCCTGGTCCTCAGCCCTGGGCCACATGGTGCTGCGCTCTGCATCCTCTGCAGCTGATCACACACAGGTGCGTGCACACACGGACTGACAAACTGATTCCTTGTACCCACAGGGCGCGTCCTGTGCACACTGCTCTGACTCTTTTCCTCTTACCTGTGCCTTCCAGGGTCGCTGCCAGCACACGTCTGGTCCGTCCACACGGTCCGGGACACTCCGTGTTCAGAGGCCCTGGCTGTGTCAGCCAGTCCCGCAGTGGCTTCTCCTGTCTCAGAGACCTGCAGGAATGCGCCGGCACTTGCTGCGGGCCTGTCCCGAGGAGAGCCGCTGCGTCAGAGGGCAGGGCACGTGTGCTTCTCATGAATCCTGTCGAGCTGCCCCCACTCCCACCACCACACAGGACAGTGCCTCTTGCCCTGCAGCTTTGCCAGCAAGACGTTCATGACCTCCCAGCCAAAGCCCCCAACGTTGAGGGGCAGAGACAGGCCTCCTGCTGCAGCCCATCTGGCTTCCCGGCCTGCAGACACCATGGCAGGATAGAATGAGTTATGCCACTGTATTTCGAGGTGGCTCATTACACAGCAATAAAATGTGGAAACAACCCTTCCTAGAATCCGGCAGCAGACATTGTCCACTTGCTGAGACAGAAGCTGGCCTCACAGTGCTCAGTGGCCCAAAAGCCCCATCGTTGGCCCAAGTGCAGTCAGCCAGTGTCCCTCCAAGGTGCCCCTGGGGAGCCTCAGTCATCCTGCCCCTCAACGTCCCCCCTTGGACGCGGGAAAGGCCCTGGGAGCATGCGAGAGCGATGCTCCTGGGGAGCCCTGAGCACATGCCCACCACCTGCCAGATAAAGCAATGGCTGCAGTCGTCCAGCACGAGCCTGGGAAAGGCACAGATTGCCCCCAGTTCATCCTAGCGTTCTCCTCGTCAGGGCCCAGTGGCAGTCAGCAAGAGTAGGGGAGCCCCGTCCACAGTCGTGGGGACTGTGGGAGGGGTGTCACTTGCTCGTCATCACACCCTCGCTGAACACCTGCTCTGCGCCAGGCCCGGAAAAGCCCTGGAGATAAGGAAGAAAGGGCCCAGACCCTGCCTGCCAGCAGCCGCGTGGCCACCCCTAAGTCAGGGGTCAGGGCAAACACACAGCAGGGGTACACAAGGGGACCTGGGAATTTCAGGTTTAGTACGAGGAGGGTCCTGGGCCAAGTTAGTCACGCCAGAGTGTGATGAGGAAGGCAAAGATGGTTTGATAATAGTTGTGCCTTTTTATAGCCCAGTTTCCAGCACGTGCGGCCCTCATGACAGGCCGGTGAGGTGGGTGAGACTGCTGTCAGTGTCTTGCTTTCACAAGCGGGGGCTGGGGCTGCCCAGGGAAAGGGGGAGGTTTAGGCTATTCACGGGGCATTGAAGCAGTCACTGCATGGGCTTGCTAAGGCTGCCCTGACGACCACAGACTGGGGGCTTCACCCTCAGAAGTTTGTTTTCTCACAGTCTGGAGGCTGGAAGTCTGAGACCAGGTGCTGGCAGGGCGGGTTCCTTCCGAGGCCTCCCTCCTGGCGTGCAGACGGCCGCCTCCTCCCTGTGTCCTTGCATGGTCATCCACCTGCGCGCACACATCCCTGGGGTGTCCATATCCCTTCTTGTGGGACACCAGTGAGAGTGGATTAGGACCCACCCCATGACCTCGTTTCAGCTTCCTCACCTCTGTAAAGCCCCCGTCTCCAGATGCAGTCACATTCTGCGATACTGGGGCTTAGCACCTCAACAGATGGATTTTCAGGGAACACAGTTCAGCCCAGAACACACTTTCCCAGTTTGGACAGAGGCCACAAAATGAATCAAGCCTCCACATCACCCGCACCCTGGCGACTGTCATGGACCTCCAGCCTACAAGGAGGTGGAGGTCGTGGGGAAAGATTGGTTTGGGGCGAGGATGCTTGCTCTGGGTCCCCTGGGTTGGTCTGAAGGGGAAAGGCTGCCCTGGCACCTGAGGTGGCGGGACACAGAGAGCGATGGGCCCCCTCAAGGAGGATGGGCCACCAGATGCCTAGGGGTCAAAAGAAAGGGAAGGCCGGCTGTCACAGGAAGCAGAATCAGAAGTGCCTCGTGGTGGGGCCTCTTCAGAGAGCACAAAGGTGACCGTCAACCGTCGTGTTCACACCGGTCTGTGCACAGCCATGCTTCAGCAGCACTGTTCATTATCACCAGAAGGCGGGACACCCCGAATGCCCATCCATGGATGAAAGGAGAGGCAAAATGGGGCCCACTGCACATGGAATATTATCGAACCATAAGAAGGAGTGAAGCCCTGACACACGCAACCACGTGGATGAACCTGGAAAATAGGATGCCAAGTGAAACAAGCCAGACGTAAGAGGGAAAATAGCACATGATGCCCTGTGTGCAAAATGTCCACAATAGGAAACGCACAGAGACAGGGAGTCGATAGTGGTGCCAGCAGCAGGGAGGGTGGGGAGGGACCACTGATGGGTCCAGGTTTCTTTCGGGGATGAAGACAATGTTCTGGAACCAGGTATTGGTGATGGTCGTGAAACAGTGTGAAGGTACTAAACGCCACTGCATTGTACTCTTTAAATGGTTAATTTTATGTGATGTGGATTTCACCTCAATTAAAAAACAGTGACCATGAGAGTGAAATCCAGCTTTAAACATCTGCCTTAGCCCAAGAAAGAGTTCTGGGCCCCTCGCTCGCCTCCCTCCCCGACCCCGTCCCCCAAGATGGCAGGCTGTGGAGAATCACAAGCTGGCCGCCCCACGCACTCGCTCGCTTCTGTAAACCATGTGCCAGGTGCCCTCTGCGGGGCCGAGATGAAGGGGAGACGGACTCTGAGAGTCCCACAGTGTAGTTTTCCAGTAACCACATTTTAAAAAGTAAAAAGAGACAGGTGAGTTTTAATAGTGTATTTTATTTAACCCAGTGTATCTAAAAAATTATCCTATCAACATGTAATCAATTTTTGATTACATGTTTAGATTGATTACATTTAGATTACGTTTTGATTACGTTAGAGTTTATGAAGGAGATATTTTAAATTCTTTTTTTTCCATATTAAGTCTTCAAAACCCATTGTGTTCTTTCACACTTAGACACGTTTCCATCAGGACACTGAGCTTTCATCAGGAACACTTGATCTGTATTTCGATCTCATTAAGTTTACGGTTGACAAGTAGATTCATGTACCCCATTGTTCCAAACATACTCAAAAAAAGATTTCCAGTAACTGAATTGAGTATCGGTTTTAACAATTGCATTTAAATAAGTTAAAATGGAGTAAAATTGAGGACTCACCATTGGGTCACACTCCCCGCGTTCCTGGGCTCCGTGGTGCGTCACCCCTCAGGCGTCGGGCGGCGGCCCCAGCTCTGCCTCTGGAGCAGGAGGGACATGAAAGCCAGGTGACGGGGTGCTTGACAACAGCAGCGGGCAGGGGTGCCCGAGGCGGGGGAGGCACGCAGCAGGAGTGGCTGTCTGCAAAGAGAGCAGGCTCCGAGCCAGGACCTGGGAGCCCCCCGGGAGGACTCCCGCTCACGCAGCCGTCCTGCTCAGTGGCTCCTCGGGAACATTCCTCGGTGGAGGGCAGGGCAGGCTGTCACCGCCTGCCGGGGAGGGGAAAGGAGCCTGCGGGACAGGAGCACAGGTCGTGTTGCTCAGGGTCAGTGCGTGTTGGACGCCTGCCAGCCGAGGCCCGCGCACCCCGGGATGCACACGGGGCGCCCCGGGCTTGTGCACCCAAAGTCGTGGGGCTCGGAAGCAGAAAGGTGGGTTCGCACCCATCTGCCTGACACAGACCCTGAAACCGTGGACTTCCGTAAATTTCTCTCAAATCTCAGAGCTGGGCAGGACCAGGTCATCCTGGCCTCCTGGCTGAGGTTCCCTCTCCTGCCTCGCCCTCCCCTGAGGGCAGCTGCTCGCCTGAAGGAGGAGAGAAGGGGCGGTTGAGACTGAGTCTCTCTGTCTGATTTGGTCTCAGGATGGAGATGGAAGAGCGCCTGGAACAAAAGAGGAGCTGGTGGGGAGGAGGCAGGCGAAGGCGGCCTGGGCCCCCCGCCTGGAGAAGGAGAGCAAGTGGGAGAGGCCCGTCCCCACTGGACGGCTGCCGTGGGGGCGTCAGACTCACTCTGCGGGGCTGCAAGGGGGGCCCCAGGACCTGTGCTCTCAGCGTTAGTTCCCTGCGGCCGTAACAGAGGACGACAAACAGGCAGCTGAAAACGACAGACACTGAGCAGAAGTCTGAACACAGGTGCAGGCAGGGCTGCCACCCAGGGCTCCGGGGCAGTCCCGCCCGCCTCCTCCAGCTTCTGGAGACTGTGGCCTTCCATGGCCGCGTCACTCCAGGCCCTGCCTCTGTGGCCACGTGGCCTCGTCTTCTGCCTCGACTCTCCCTCTGCCTCTCTCTTACAAGGACACTTGCTGGATTGAGGGCTACCTGGGTAATCCAGGACAACCTCCTCGTCTCAAGATCCTTCACTTCATTGCATCTACGAGACCCCTTTTCCAAAGGAGGCGACACCCCCAGATCCTAGGGGTTCAGACGTGGACATGTCGTTTGGAGGATCACCGTTCAACCGCTACAAAGTGAAGGGGGTAAATCATTAGCTCAGCATGAAGAAAAGACTCTGCTGCGGCCACCGGGCAGGTGCCTGAGGCGGGAGTCCCTGCAGGCCGGCCCGGGTGGGCGGGGCTGGGGACTCGAGGTGCAGAGGACCCAGGGGAGGCTCCCATGCTGCAGCCCAGGGAGGAGCAGCTGCCGCCTCTGACCCTGGCCCTGTGGCTCTTGTGTCTGTGTCTCTTTCTGTTGCCTGAAAGTTAAGGTCAGCTTTCGGTAGAAGGGGTCAACTTGCCATCTCTCCAGCTCCTGTCTAGGGGTCACACCCCCTCATCCCAGCCCGAGGCTCCCTGGTTCTCACTCCAGAAGTTTGCCTTACAGTTTGGGATAGCCAGGACCAGAACTGTGCTGATAGCGTCCACGTCACACCGATGCACAGCAGCCCGAGTGGGGGGATGGGAGCGGGTGGGTGGAGGCCGCCTCCGACCTGGACATCTGTGGCTGACAAGTGGGATCTAAGGGAGGAGATGGAGGGGAGGGGTCTTCTGAGGAGCTTAGGGCTGGTGGGGTCCGGTGAGGAGACAGGTGAGGGGAGACATGGGCCCACGAAAGGCTGAGGGAGGCCCAGTTGGCCCCGCCGCCCGCAGATGAGGCCACTGCTCAGCCATTAAGTGCACTGCTCCCGGTGGACGCTCTGCCTCGTCTGTTCCCGAGTGTTCTGGGCGGCGTCAGGCAGAACTGCTCTCCTCGGTGTAACTCCAGATTAGCTTTCCACCCATTCTGGGGCCAGGTGAGAGGGGTGCTGTGCGTGCAGGCTGCGTGCCTGGGAAACCCAGGGCCGAAGCTTGTCTCACACCCTCAGCCCGCAGAGGTCAAGTTGTGTTGGAAGGGGTCTGATCTGCTACATTTAACCTTTGTTTAATCAGGAAAAAAAGTGTAGTTTTCTCCGAGATTTGTCCACTCAACAGCCTCTTTCAGCCGACACCGAGAGCCAGCTGCGTGCGAGTCCCCCTTGTGTGAGGAGCCACAGGGCCAGCTCGCTGGGACC